ATAAAATGTAAAAATAATTGGACAGGTAGATTGAAGAATATTTAGGTAGAATGTGGGTATGTACTATATTGTCAACTTTAAGAGAAACAACTGAAGTAACCAACAGTGACCAATCCACAAATTAACAAGATAGTTGGCTCTACTCCTTTAAATATATATGTCACGATTTAACAGAAGGGCCGGGGTGTAGCTCAGTATAGAATGCTTGGCTAGCATGCATGAGGCCTTGAGTCTGATCCCCCAGCATGGGAGGGGACTTTAAAGGAAAGTTTTAATGTATAATTTATTGTATTTATTTTAAGCCTCCTAGTAGGATATTAAGGTGCATGTTATTTTGTAAATGTATGACTGTGGCGGAGATGATAGAATTGATCTTAAGAAAAGCTCATATCCCTGTTCTTAGTTGAGATAGCAATACAGAAGTCAGATAGGGCTGGAAAATGGACAGAAAGGCCATGTCATTTATGCAGTCTAGTTTCATTTCTGTTGCTATGACGAGTACCCTGACCAAAAGCAGTAGGAGAGGAAAGGGCTTTTATTTCCGTTTACAGTTGCTGATTATAGTTCATCATTTTAGGGAAATCAAGGCAGGAACTCAAGCAGCTGGTCACATCACATCCACAGTCAAGAGTGAAGAGAGATATGCACATCCTTGCTTGCTACTTTCTTTGCTCTTACACGATTCAGGGTTCAGACCATAAAATGGTGCCAGGTGCATTGAGCTAGGTCATCCAACAAGTAAGACACTACCCTTCAGACAGTGCCCACACCCAACCTGATCTAGAGAATTCCTGAACTGAGACTTTCTTAAGGATTCTAGGTTGTGGCAAGCTGACATTCACAATTAACCATCATTGTCCATAGCAATTATCTTTTACAGTGTTCATTTTTCTTCCAGTCTTTAGCCGTTTTGTGGTGAGTGCAGAACAAAGGTCCATGAACTCAGTCTGCTATTTTTACTTCAGTATTATGTTTGTACTAAGATAACACTATAAAGCTGAGTAATTGTCTGGTGTCATGTCTGTTTCTCTATACAGCCACCTGTATCTTAAAATTTTGCATCCATCTGGTCTATACATATTTTCTTGTGTATACTAATGATATTCTGGGCTGCGTGTGGTGGCACACGCCTTTAATCTCAGCACTTGGGAGGCAGAGGCAGGTGGATCTTTGTGAGTTCAAGACCAGCCTGGTCTATATAGCAAGTTCCAGACCAGCTGGGTCTATAGGGAGACCCTGTTCACCCCCACCAAAAAAACCCAAAACCAGAGTTTTAAGTGATAAATACATTTAATCTGATTAACAGTACATGGAGCATGCACACATTGTAACATTGCATGTTTCCTCACTAATATACACAGTTTACATTTTTATGTATTGTCTAAAAATTAAAGTTATGGTGTTGCACACCTGTAATCTCAGCACCTAGGAGATTTTGAAGCAGGAGGATCAGAAGTTGAAGACCAACTTTGGCTCTTTCACCCTACTCCAGGGATGGACCTGACTCTGCCTCCCCAATACTGGGTTACAGACATCGGTCACCATGCTTGTTTTTTTTAGTGGGTGCTGGGGATCAAACCTAGGTCTTGATGCTTGCGCTGCATTAGTTTACTGACTAAGCCACCTCCTCAGCCGGTGGTGTGCTCTTTTTCAGTACCTTTAGATCTTTTAAGGAATGACACATTGTGATACATGGTTTAGATAGCTAGATGGAGCCTTGCAGACTTCCGTCTTACTATGTGATTGTTTTACTGTTTCTTAAATTTTTACCCTCTGCTCCAGTTTGCTGAAAAGAGAAATATTAATTTGAGAAGTATTAATTTAAAACATACATGATATATAGTGTTGTGTGCCATAAGAGATGATATACTCTGTAATTTGTAGTATTTCCAGATCTAGTGGGTAAGTAGTGTTTTGTAAAACCTTTGTATCAAATAATGTTGTGGTTGGTTCTGAGTTTGTGCTTAAATGTATTTATATGTATTTATTAAGGTTGTTACAAAGTTTCTCCTGTTTATTCAGAGGACAATGGAAGACATCAAAGAAAACAATGAAAATGATTAAATTTTTAAAAATGGGGAGCTGGCTGGGCATGGTGGTACAGGCCTTTAATCCCAGCACTTGGGAGGCAGAGGCAGGCGGATCTCTGTGAGTTCAAGGCCAGCCTGGTCTCCATAGCGAATCCAGGCCAGCTGCTGCTACAGGGAGACCCTGTCTCAAAACAAAACAAAACAAAACAAAAAAAATGGCGAGCTGCAGAGATGGCTCAGTGGTTAAGAGCACTGGCTGCTCTTGCAGAGGACCCCGATTCAATGCCCAGCACCCACATGGTTGCTAACAACTGTCTGTAACTCCAGTTCCAGGGGAACCAGTGCCCACTACTGACCTCTGTGGGCATTGCACCACACTGGTGCACTTACATACAAACAGGCAATAAATACACTCATACACATAAAATAAAAATGATAAATAAGATAGGTTTTTTTTTTTAGAGGTAAAATGATTTTTATTATAATTCACAAATGGCCATTTTAACTGGTTTTCTGTGAGTTTTAGAAAGGTGTATATATTTGTGCAGTTGCTTCAGAACCTCAGATTACCATCTGTACCCATTTGTTTCTTTGCTTTCTCTCACTCATTCCCTTCTGTGTAGCCAGATAAGGCAACTACTGATCTGCCTTTTGTCATTCTAGATTAGCTCTGCTTTTATTAGAATGACACACACTTGCCACCTTCTCAGGTCATATACCATGTCATCTGCTTAACAATCGATGGCCCTTATGACTGCTGTAGGGTGATAGAGGAACCTAAAATTCCTGTCCCTTGGTGTTTTACTGTACCACTGACAGATTTAGTTGCACAAGTAGTGACCACATTGTCTCACAGTTGTTAAAATTGCCTACAGTATTTACTGAAAATCTTCACACCCAGACTGGTGGTTGACAATCTTTAATCATGATAAAGAGGAAACCTGTTCTGAAAAAAGTAAACTGAGTTGCCACAAAGTACAGTGTCCCACTTTGTCTTCATTGACATTTCTTAATTTTTATCCTTACTAGGCCTCCACCTAATAATACCTTCCAGGTTGGAGGAGCAGGTATGTCACATTAATGCTGCCCCTGAGCCTTCAGTGGCCAGGATAGGTGGGAAGATGGGAAGGAAGGTGTGGTAGTTCATTTTCCCCTGGTATGGAGTTCTGGCTGTTTATTTAGCCTTCTCTGTCCCTCTCTGGTGGGGGTTATAGGGGATAAGATCATGGTTAGGGTTGTTTTTATAGCCAGGTGAAGATAGAAATCTGGGTTGTCTAGTAGACATGGGCATCCACTAATCCCAGAACTCTGGAATCTAGGGCAGGAGGATTTCTAGTTTAAGGCTAGTCTGGGTTACATAGTTCAGCCTGGGCTATATTCCAAGAC